ACACATGCACACACTGCACGATGGCTGAATTTCATGCTGTTGCTCTGTTTTGTTAAAAAAAAAAAAACACTTCAGTGAGAAACTTTGAAAGTCTGAAGGTTCCGCTTCTCTTCCTTTCTGGTCTTTTGGATTATGTTGGTCTAATTTAGGTTTTGTTTGAGGACTGTCTATTAGCAATGAAGAAGAAGAAGCTTTATTTTCATTGTACACAAAATACAACAAAATTGTGTTTGGCATCATCTTTGTAGCAGCTAATATGGTCACATATCTAAGAAAAAAAAAGTTTAAAGGGAAAAAAGAAAAAAACAAACAAGAGCCTAGTAAGAGCCTGACTGAGCACAGTTTTAGCATTAACTACAACCCTATTTGGACAGGAAGAATGGGAGCCCCATTTAACTCAATGTTCTGGGCTGCTGCTGGTGAAATAAAGGTGAATATTAGATAAGAATAAGAATAAGGCCCCTATAAACAACTTTTGACCCAAAAGTGGGCCAAAACCATCGGAAATACCAGACTTAGCGAGTGCTAAACACCAGCAAATATTAGACAAAAACACTTGGTCCCAATAACAGGTAAATTTTAGACCAAACTAGTGCTAAACACCACCCAACCATCCATTATCTATACACCACTTAATCCTCACTAGGGTTGCGGGGGGGCTGGACAGGTGGACAGGTCACCAGTCTATCAAAGGGCTACACTTAGAGACAGACAACCAAGCACACTCACATTCACACCTACGGACATTTTAGAATTAGCATGTTTTTGGACTGTGGAAAGAAGCCGGAGAACCCACGCTGCACAGGGAGAACATGCAAACTCCACACAGAAAGATCCCAGGTGTCCTAACTGGGCCGTGAACTGGGGATCCTTTAGCGGCGAGGCGACAGTACGTAGATTTTGCAGGTAGCTAAAAGGTTCCACGGTCCATCTGTCTTCATTCCTTATTTCCTCCCCCAAACTCAGGGTAGGGTCAGGGCAGACTCAGAGAATCCTAAAACATTATAGAATCTTAGAGCATTCTAGCATCTTATAACATTCTAGAATCCTAAAGCACCATAGAATCTTGCAGACCCTGCTAAACACCAGAAAAGCTAAATAATCAATAATCAATGGATCAAAATACAGGCTGAAACCCAACAGAATATAGGACCAAAGAATAAAAACAACAGTGAATATCTGACCAAACCAGGGATACAACACTTCATAAATCAGGACTGAACCAGGGTAAAAATGATAGTAAACAAAACAAGGCACATATTATAACACCATCAAATACTTGACCAAACCAGGGCTTAAAACGTCACAAAACACTGGGACAAATGTGGACAAAAACACTAATGAATTTCAGCCTAAACACAAACAAACACTGCTAATTGGCTACATTAAGTCTTACTCTGGTTCACCACAACATACAATATGCAATGCAGTCAATAAGATCCATTGCAGTGACATACATAACTGTAGTTATTAGCTGGCATTCAAGTCATCAGGGCAGGACAGCTGTGCAATGAGGAACTCTGTTTATATGATCAAATATGGGGTACAAATTGCATTTCAGTACCAATCGGTTAGATGGCATTTAGACAGCTCAGTGTCATCTCTGGCGTTGATTAAACCTCTAAAAACTCACTCAATTTATGTTTGTAGATTTTTGCCATTTAAATACTCCCTCTCTGCCTTAAATGTGCAACACTACACTATTACTTTCTCTGGAACTAGTAGACATATGAAGCCCCTCGCTGCAGCTCAGCACACCAGCCCACCTACAACTCTGTAATGTTGGAGTAATTCAGCCATCCAGGTTCAAACTGAATCAGAAGAAGAATAATGATTTAGAAGCTTTCATCCTGCACAGGTTTATTTCTTTAGGTTTGTTACATATGAAACTCAAAAGGTCTGAATCTGTGTTTTTGAGAAAGTCATCAGTACAATGCAGATTTAAGGTGAAAATCCTCAGTCATGGTGTGGATGGGTTAATGCACCCATGTTGTGTCATCCAGCATGAAAAAAACACTATATAGACGTGTTAATAAGGTAAAAAACAACAACTTATTTTTGTCATTTAATCGCTGCTTATTTCGTTGTGAAACATGCAGTGCAACAAGAATTTACTTAATCTGTTTTGAATCCAGCTGCCTGTAACTATTAGGTTCGCTCCAAACAGCACATTACAGGTTCAACATTTACTGTGTTGCACTCTTTTTTAAATATATTTTTTGGGCTTTCGCCTTTATTTTAGAGCAGTAGAGATAGACAGGAAAGGAGGGAGAAGAATGGGAAGAGACCTGCAGCAAAGGGTCATGAGCGGGAGTCGCTGTGTCAGGGACTGTAGACCCTGTTCATGGGTCGCCCACTCGGCTAGGTGAGCTCCAGGGACGCCCACTGAGTTGAACTATAAAGTTGGCACAACCCTTAAATTCGCTAAATTAAACACCAAAAAGCCTTGAAATTGGGTTCAGCCAATTTTCTGATATATCTGTTCCAGCTACTTTCCATAAACTGTGAACTACCAGCATCTAAAAGTGCATTTTTTATACATCTGAGGTTCTGAGTGCTCTGAACATCCCGACCCATGATCAGTCCAGGTTTCATAATTAGAAGCAGTCTTGACTTCATGATGTTCAAGAGACAAAAAGTCCCACACTACAGATGTTGTTTAAAATCACATTTAATGGTTCAAAACTCCAGAGTTTAACAATATTGCAGTGTTAGAACAGTTTGTTGATAAGAGTACTGTAGTACTAAGTGTTAGTGTGTTTACATGGACAGAGTTACTATGTGATAATGAGATTCTGTGTTCAGACAGCAGAACGTCTTTACAGCTGCAGGGAAATGAAAACAGACTTCTTATGACTTTATTTACTACAGACACTTTGACACGTTGCAGCAAAAACCGTACAGCTGGAAATAGTGGATTTAATAGTTTAGCTGAGTTGAAGGATCACACTGTCCTAGATGGATGAGAGCTCTTTCCTGCAGCCAAGTCAAAAAGTCTGCTGTGAAAAAGGTTTTTAAGTAATTGTGTTGCATTGCACGTGACTTTGTGTAATATGACTGACAGCAGAGTCAGTTGGACACTTTATAGAGTTTGTTTTAAGGGTAAAAAGACAAGCTGGCTGTGGTGTGGTGAAATGATTCATTCATTTCCAAGGGACACAGGTGACTCATGTCCCATAAGACATGTCCTATTGACTGACCCACAGAACAAGAAAAGGTTAAGTTTATAAATGGAAATGTCTGTTATAGCACACAAACATCATGACAGTCTCTGAAACCACCTGTTGTTTACTATATACACAATATGTGCAGGGGTTTAAAGTTGTGAATAGCACTAAGAGGGTATCAAAATACATTTGCAAAATGTCTGAAATATTTTTTCTAATTAATCATAAATTGGCTAGCCAAACTATACTTTTTCTGCTACTTATAATAGTTCATACATGGATGGGTTGTGAGACAATGGACCCCTGCATGAATAAAAGTCTAGTTTACATTTTTTGTGGTTGTCTTGTTTAATTTTGTGGCTTGTGTTTCTTCACTTGTAGTCGTTTTGTGGTTATTTTGTATCTCTTCTTGGTCATTATGCTTCACTTAGTGATGACTTTGTGTCCACGTGTTATTTTTGTGACTGTCTTTGTGTCACATCCTCCACCTCTGTTCCCCCTGTCTTCTTTCCTCTCCCTCCTGTCCTTTCTCTCCAGATGGGTGTGTGCTGGCAGGTGTGTGAGGTGTGGACAGGTCAGCTGATCACCTGAGTGTCTTCTCCTGCGGTGGGCGAGGTCATCAATCATCTACTCACCTCTCCTCCCCATAAAAGCTGACCTCAGACCATGATGTGATGCTGGACTGTAAACTACTACACAGTTAGTCAACCTTGGCTCTGCTCCGATCTGTCTTTTGCTCCATGCCTGTTATTTTATGCTAACCCTTGTTTATGTTCCAGCTGGACCCACCTACGATTACCTGGTTCTGTTCACCATCGCCAACTCCACTGTGCCACTGGCTCCACACACGGTCTCTTGGTTCAACTCTTCTTGGTCATCTGTCCACCACATCAGCTCCCCTCACCTGCCACGTCATCCACCTGTCACTAAGCTGCCAGTCTCCTGTTGAGTCCTCAGCAAACTGCAGTTCCCAAGTTCATGTAATCGCTAAATTTGTGTCTTTGATTCTTCCTGGTTAATCTGAATTCCTGTTTATTCCGTCCTAGCTTGGTGGTACCAAGTTCAGGTTGTGTGTCTGCGAGCAAAAGGAAATTATTTGATCCTCGTTAATTCTGCCTGTTTGAGCGCACTTTGTCTGCTCCTGTCATTTTTGTAGTTTTGCATTGTTTAGCTCATTTTGAAGTTTTTCCTTCACTTTGTGTTAATTTTTTGTCCAGTTTTTAATCCCATCTTTGCAGTAGGTTAGCTTCACTTTGTGGTCAGTTTGTATACAATTTGCACCTTGTTTTTTGCTTTATTTGTTCTTTATTCTTAACTGTTCATTTTGTTCTATTGCGGTTGTGTTGCATCACTTTGTGGCTGTTTGGCGTCTCTTCGTAGATGCTTTACATTATTATGGGTCATTTTGCTTCACTTTAAACAGCTTTGTTTTGCTTTTATGGCTTTTTTGTCTCTAACTGTAGTTACAACTGAGCTCTGTTGCTTTCAAACAAGGAATATTAACGGTCACTTCATACAGAGACTCTTCCGATCGCTCAGGCTTGTCTTTATTAACACGTTTTCAGGTTCAAGGTAACAGATTATTGATATTACTAGAAAATTGCTACATAAAATTGGGAAGTACTAAAAAGACTGACTTCAGACAATGTCAGTGCTCTTCAACTGTTTTTTTTTTTTTTTGCTCCACTTACAAATATAAAAGTTGTGGGATTTCAAGCCTCCAGTTGTGCTAACAGGACTTTGCAAAAACTGGTATTTCACAGAGTTAACATATGATCACATTCTGCCAAGGCCACAGTTGTGGTGCAACTAGAAAAAAATACAAACCAACAGTGACCTGTTGTGCAGATTTAATAGAAATGTGACATAATTTACACTTTTCCAACATTTTGCCCTCCAATATCAAGAAATGCATCACAAACACATATTTTGTGCCTTTAAACGTTGTAACAGAAACCAAAAGAAAATGTTAAAACTTAATAAAAAGGGTTAAAATCCACAGATCGCACAGAGCAGCACAACCAAATCATTTCAAATTCAACATGGCGCATGTAGATTTCTAGTCCAAATGATCCATGGATGGACTAAACCAACTACCACAGCGCAAGACACAACACTTTTGTTACCGTCATATCTCTTTGTGGTCAATTTGTGTCAGACATCATTTGGTTTAACTTTGTAGTCATTTTGTGTCCCTCTGTCGTTGCTTTGTGTCTCCTTGTTTTGTCTTTGTGGCCATTTCTTTTTGTAGTCATCAGTTGTCTCTTTGTTGTCATTTTTTTGGTCAGTATGTGTATCTTTTTAGTAATTTTTAAGCCATTTTGTGCATCCTTTGTTTTGCCTATTTGTAGTCATTTTGTGTGTTCTTTGTTATTTTGCATGTAATTTTTGTCATTCTGTGTGTCTCTGTAGTCGTTTTTCGTATTTGTCAATTTGCTTCTCTTTGCAGTTACAAGACTGAGTTTCCCCAAAACAAATGTTTACAGCCAAGGACCCCTGCCACCTTGTGCCTCCAGGTCTGTGGTAGGCCTGTTTAATAGTCCATCCACAGCTGGATCTCACAATACTAAAGAAGTGAGGAAAGTCTCTGCTGCTCTTGTTTCCCAGGTTGCAGTTGTTTCTCATGCAGCTGTTGTTTCTCTCTGTCGTCTGAACAAAATGTGAATAATCTTCTTTCATTTTCTGCAGAGTTCAGTGAAGTTCATGTCGTGGCTACAGATTTGTCACGGTCCAAATGTCCAAGTCCCAATGGCCTTTATATCATTTAAACATCCTCCAGCTCGTTGCCATGGTGACATGGCCAACATCCAGGGTTTACAAAAACTAGAGCCCCGTAGAGAAACTGTGGTGACAAAGAAAATTCCTCTCCCAAAAAAAAGGTGTCATGTACATACTATATGGCTGTGCGTAGGTTAGGTACTACAGCTTTGAAGCTCTGCCCCTCTCATGTCTTAACTGAGTGCTTTTGGTGTATAAACACACATGCACAAACACACTAAACGCACACTAAATAATGTTTGTGCAAAGAAAATAAATGACAAAAAAAATCCAAACAGTCTGATAGATGAAGAGATGAACTACATTCAGCTAGAACAGCCTGTGATAGTGCAATATCTACACACACACACACACACAACCACACACACACACACAACCACACACACTAACAGTCAGAGCTCAGTGGCGACTCCGGCGCAGAGTTGCTCGGCCTCGTCCCTGCAGGGTCTGATCCCATCTCTGGACAGAAGCACAGACAGAAAGTGAGTCTGACAGTAGACATTATCTGTACATCCAGAAAAGGAGTGGCGACAAATGTGACACAGCCACCAACAGGCAGCAGAAAAGTAGGGTAATCAGCAAGCTTAGAAATCAATAAGTTCATAAAAATCATATTCTGCTGCTGGTATTTGTCATTATTCTACACTTTAAGGTCAGTGGCTGAGTTTGCTCACCTACAGGTCCCAGGGACTAATCAGCAAAACAACAGAATGTATTTACAAAAACACAGAGGAGAAAAGTATGGAGGTAAATTAAAAAGACTGAGAGCAAAGAAAAACATTTGATCAATGAATCCAGCATGGTGAAACATTTTTCTACAGTTGATGTGCAGAGTCGTGTGTTTGTAGAAATTGTAAAAATGAAGCAGGAAGATAGGATGTCGAGCCATCAGTTTTTTCCCCCAGTATTGGTGACACCTTTAGGTGCTTGGAAAAAAACATTTTTTTTCAAGGTTTTCTTTTTTTCAATTTTTGTAAAAGACATACTCAGAAGAAATTCAACTGCTGTGTTTTCTTTCTTTTTTTTTTTTTTTATGATTTATAGTATTATGACTTTCTTATGCTACACAGAAGACTTTGTGTCTGTAGTTGTTTTCTGTCTCTCTATATGCATTTTTTATGCATCTTTGTAGTTGTTTAGTGTCTCTTTGTGGTCATTTTTGATCTGTTTGATGTCATTTTGTATCTCTTCGTGGTCGTTTTGCATCTCTGTAGTGTCAATTTTGATGCTTTGTAGTCATTTGCATATCATTGGTGTCACTTCTGAGTTCTCTCTATTTTGAGTCACAATTACACTGTTTCCATAGAGGTGCAAGACTTTATATTCCAGTGAAAAATGATGCCACAGAGAGTAAAAATGTGTCAGGAGCCAAAAACACATGAAAACTGCTTGGCATTCAGAGGGCTAAAGAAGAGATTAAGGGGCTGAAACCAGTCAGTATTGGTGTGCTTTGTGCATGAATTAAGTGACACACACCTTGACCTTTCTGCCCATTTTGTCCTTCCATTTCTGAGCAATGGAGGTGTCAATCAGGAGCAACCTGCAAACACAAAGACGGGTTTGTTGTAGGGAATTATAGCTGATAACAGATAAAATAGAATTTTAGAAAAATATAACATTTGAGCATTAATTAAACACATTGTCACAATAAAAACTGACAAACATTTTGATCAACTGCTGACAAATGAGAACAAAAACTCAAAACTGCATTGCAAGCTTTCAAACCTCCAACTAGACACATGCTTCCCCCCAGAACAGCCTGCGTAGAGTTCAAGTTTTAAAGTCTTTATGATAGAACCCGTAAACTGTCCTGTACCTGGATGTCTCCTCATTCTCATAGCCCATGATGAGGTACTCGTCCCCTGGAACAAGAGGAGGACACAGACAGGAGGACGAGTAGTAGAGCGTCACAGTCTCCTTGGGGATGTTGACCAGGGAAGACTTCAGCACCTCCTTGACGTCCACCACCGCTGTAGGCTCCAGGCCTCGGTTCCTCACCTCCCTCACCCTCGCCCTGATCACTGGAGGAGGCAGTCATCAGCATAAGTTGACACTTTGGACGCTGGACTTTAAATTTCTCAAACTTACAGCTACCGTGTGTGTGTTTACGTCTGCACACACAAATTGTTATTTAACTTTGCTCTAGATATTCAACTTTGGCCTGGTTTACTCAATTACGGCGTGAGAACAATCGATGACAACTATTTCACAACAGCAGCACATTTTGAAGAATTTCTAGAGTGTTTCAGACTTCTGTAATGTCCACCTTATTTATAAAAACTACATTTCTTCCGTTTTTATAAATGCCCATTCATACCAGTCCTCGGATGAAATTTAATATTTCCCTAATAAGATATTCTATGCTGCCATCAGTGTAATTCACCAACGTCACTGTCCATTCATGGAGTGCCTCAATCCTCAGTGTTTTGGCCCTTTACTCTATCTAAATGTTACCCTAAAGTCACATTTTCAAAAACCATCGAATCAGTTTACATTTCTATGCAGATGACTCCTACATCTCTCTCTCTCCATCATTTAAGTCTTTTTGTAGCTGTTTTGCATCTTTATGGTGGCATTTTGTATTTCTTTGGTGTCATATTGCGTCTGCAGTCATCTTGCATCTCTTTGGTGTCATTTTGTGTTCTTTGTAGTCATTTTTTATCTCTTTAGTATCATATTATGTCTCTTGCTAGTGATGAGTCCGTAGGTAGTTTGTGCCTCTAGTTGTTAGTCATATGCCTCTTTGTACTGTTGTTATTTTACTGTTGCTTCACTGTGAGCAAATGAGCTTCACCGGATGCCAAACAAGTCAATGAATTAGAAAACAACAACAACAACAACAACAACAACCGATTTCTCACTGTATAGCTCAGATAGAACTCAAAACCCATGTATGATTATCCATTAGACAGACTGAGAGGTTTGTTGTGGTTGGAACCCTGAAGACAAATTGTCTGGCTGCTGTCCTTGGTGCTGAAAAGACAGCTGCTACTAAAGACAGTAAAGATGTGAAGCTCCTGTGACGGCAGCAAAAAACACTTCTTAAAATCTCTATATGAACTGTATGTGATTGGTTTAATTTCTGTAACCTTTGAGATCCAAATTCCAGCCCTCATTCAGACAGCAGTCAGCGGTACAAATATTTTGTATTAAGAAAAAAGGTAAAAGTTCATTCTTCCGGGGGGTGGGGATGGGGAGGGGTCAAGCTTTTCTATTTTTAATTTAAAAAATTGAATTATCTATTTTTATTGTCTACATGATTTTTGATTTATTTTGATTTTCACATTTCCTCCCCCTCTTTTATTTCCTTAGTTATGTATTTATTTTACTTATTCACTATTATTACTGTTATTATAGTTTTTAGCCTTGTGTTTATGGTTGTAGCCTCTTTTTTTTTTTTTTTTTTACACCTGTTCTTTTTCTTACTTGGACTTCCCTGGCTTGCAAAATTATCTTTAAATTGCAAAACTTCTCAAGTGCATGTTTTTTTTTTCTGAGGTCAGGGTCTATTGGCTGCACTTGAAGGGGCAGGAAGGTTTGACAGACATGACACATGAGGCAATTACAGAGACAGCCAAGAGAGCAAAGCTAAAAAAAAAAAAAAACCCAGGGGGCAATTTTTCACAATTAAGACTTGTTTCATTGGACTCTGAGCTTCTTGATTAGAAACCTCTTGTGTTTCTATTTTATTGTGAGCCGTTGCACTTTGTGTGCGTATATATATATATATATCATAAAGTGCAAACCAAGTACAGACAGAATGACACCATAGTCGTGAATATATATATGTATATATAGGTATTTATATATATACCAACATTGATGGTGTCATTCTGTCTGTAGTTGGTTTGCACTTTATGATGGTATTTTGTATCATCTTGTAGTTGTTTTGCATCACTTTGGTGTTACTTTACATCTGTCTGGTGTAAATTTCTTTTTCGCTGTAGTCACTTTACATCTCTTTGGATTATTTTGTTTCTCCTTGTAGTGTCTTTGCAGACATTTTATATGTCTTTATAGTTTTTTGAGTCTGCAGTCATTTTGTGCCTCTTGTTGGTAGACATGTGCCACTTTGTACTGCCATCATTTTGCATCTGTTCATGGTATTTTGTCTTTTTGCAGATGTTTTATGTCTCCTTATAGTCATTTCAATTCTGCAGTTATCACAGATCCCATTTCCACCCTCAGATATTCTCCGTCCTTCTGCATTAAAACCCCACTGCAGGAATCTAAATGATATCTTTGATCAGATTTCAAAATCTTGCTTTCATTACATCTTGTTTAGATCACTGCATCTTACAATGAAGACTTGTTTCATTGGACTCTGTGAGCTTCTTAATTAGAAGCCTGTTGTATTTTAGGTTTCTGTGAGCTGTTACACTTTGTTTTGCAGTTTTTCTGTCACCCTGTCTCCATTCCAAGAACACAAAATGAAACCTGCTCTGCTGCCAGCGACACCAGCAACCATCCAGCAGCAGCAGCAGCAGTAGCAGGAAACCAGGTAAATATTTATCGCAGCAAATGGAAAAGTGTCTCAGTAAATCTATGCACACATTTCAGGAGTAACACAGCAAACAAGACACTAAACAAAAGTGGTCGAAGCTGCAGAGATGGAGGAGAAACAGGAGTCAACAGTCAAATAGTCATCATTTCTGAAGACCACCTTGTGCAGAGTGACATGCCGCCACGCTTTCACTGAACTCCTCTGTTTCAGTTCAATCTGAATATTTCGAAAGTGAGCTCTCGTTTAATGACAGCTGGAAAGAGAAAAAAAAATCCCCAAATGGATTCTGCAGCCAAAAGAATTAGTGAAGTCCACATGGAAATCTGTGCTGGATTTGCCAAATCATGCCTGTGTGCTGTAATCATCTGGAACAGCCTCTCTGCTCTCTAATTTAATCTAGCTAAGCTAACGACCTCGGCACAGAAATCTTTCCCTTTACATGAAGGGGAAAAACAGGTCAGAGAGAAGGAATCTGCTCCACAGTTCAGTGACACTAAACAGATTTTTAACAGCCTAATGGAGCTGCACAGTTCAGACTCTGACTGGTGACAAAACCACAGTTTTACATTAGAAATTTAAAGTGTTTTTCTTTAAGCAGCATCACCATTTGCACCTGGATTGGATATTTATACAGTATTTAGGTTTAGACATGAACCAACAAACCACTACAGACTACCAAAATAATGCAAGCTGCATAATAAATGACACTTTTTCTTTGGAAAATGACATTTGTACAGTTTGGGCTTTTTCTAGTCATCAATTAATACAATAAATAAACACGAGCACTTCTGAAATCTGCAGACTGATCAGCCTGAATGGAAACACACAAGGATTTGATGCTCAAATCATCAATAACATGCTATCTTACATACCAATAATTTGTGTTTTTTCATTAATATGTAGTGTCAGAATGAAATACAATTATATCCTGTGTTCATTCATATTTGATTTACCATAGTTGTAGTTGTTCTTCACGTAGGTTTTCAAACTCATCCTGACAGTCTTACACCTGCAGCGATCTACAGACAAGAGAGTGAAACTTGGATGTTAATGTTTTACAGATACAAAGACAAACTGTGTTCAGGCTCTGTCTCCTTTAAAGTTCAGTCTGGGCTGAATTTGGTGTTTCTAGTTCATGACTTATGAGAGTTCAAGTCAACTCTAAAACATCTGTGTCTTGTTGGTTGTGTGAGGGTTAAAAATAAAGAACTATACCGATTAAATCTGTTTTAAATTACCTTGAGACTTCTCAGATTTGTTGCCTTCTTGAACACATACATTTTGGAGTCTCACTCAAATATGCTTTGGTCATTCTTACATAATATTCACTGTACAGAATGATGTTTACTATAATCAATATAAGGCAACCTGCTATTTCACCTCCTTTTATACACATTTAACAAGATGTAATAATTTAACTAGCAGTTTCCCCTTATTCCCAGCCTTTATTCTAAGTTGAGCAAACTAGCTGCAGGATGTAGCATTACAGTTATACAAATACACATAAGAGTGTGTCAATCTTCTCCTCTAATTCTCAGAAAGAAAATGAAAAAACTGATTTCATAATATGAAAACTTTGGGACAGAGTGGTTACCTCCATTCGGTCCTCTGCAGTGGAAGTTGTTGGAGTCCATTGGAAAGTCTGGACTGGATTCTGTCAGGAGATTAAACCCAGTAAGGGACAGCTTTTTAGTGAACTGGTTAAACTGGTTTAGACTGTTACTGAGAAATACATGGTTTCCAGCTGCAGATGTCACTGACTGATCTCACTTGTAGACTCTCTAAGGTAGTTTGTTGTGATTGGATAAAAATAAACACTGGTTAAGATTGTTTATCCAATGTGATCAATCAAAGTTACAGTTTGGACGTTTGATTGGTCCCAAAGTCATTCTTTTTACTTTACATTTATCTAAAACTTTTGCACGGTGCTGTATAATCAACCAATTTAACACAACATGTTTCATCTTCTGACAAACTGATCACAGCTCAGTAAATGTGAAAGCCTCACCTGGGTTACACCTGGATGGGTCCTGGTAGTAAGGATCTATAGAGACACAAAGACACAGCAGTCAGTGTCTGAACTGGAGCTACAAAAAACATCAGCTACTAAATTAATCGCCAACTACTATAACAATTGCTTTGACTAACTTTTTAAGTCAAAATTTTCTGATTCCAGCTTATTAAATGTGATTTTTTGTTATTTTTTCCTCCTCTGTGACTAAACTGAATATCTTTGATTGTTGACATTTTACAGACCAAATAACAAATACACTGATGGACAAATTAATCTACAAATTTGACAATGGAAATCTTCATAGCCGTGCATGATAGAAAACACTTTCTAATTTCTTGCTTATTTGCGACAGAGAAAGGGGAAGAAGATATATTGATGATTTTGGCTGTAGAAGCCAAAAATGTAAAGCCAGACTTGAGGCTTTGGAGTGCATTGCAGGTCAAAGTGAAGATAAAGTATTTAAGTATTTTGGTTTCTTGTGGAACCAAATTCAACATGTGGATTGGTACCACAACATCTGCAGTATAGATGCTGCCATTCTGTACCAAACCACCTGGCAAAGATGACACAGTTGGCAGATGCTGCTCCAAACTGAAGAATTTGATATGCAACCCTCACGTTTTGACCAAAACACTGAGACAGGAGACATAAATTGATCTTCCCAGGCTGGTTTTGGCTCAGTGTTTGACATCTGTAAGATTCCTGAAGTAAAACCTCTGTCCTTTATGTAGAAAAGAAGCCAATTGAGGAGGTTTTGGGTATTTGTCTGGTCAGGATGCCTCCTTTTAGAGGTTTTCTGTAGACAACCAGCTGGACAGAGTTTTAACCTAATTTAGCCCCAGGTTCCTTTTTAGGAATCTGACTGGCTATTACCATGATTTACTAGTTGTAATCAGTGTCATGATTATAGTTATCCAGGAAGGAGCTTTGTGCCACAAGCTCCTATTGTCAAATAAACATTTTTTATGATGAGGACAGATAGGGTGTAATATTGATCCCTTAAGGATACTTGCAGTGTTGCAGCAGCAATTTACATATCACAAAATAAAAACACCTTCTAAAAACATAGACCTAAAAAAATTGAAATAAGATAAAAAAGGATTTAGAATGGGATAAGACAGAACTTATCCTCCATGCAACCTAAAAAAGTGCTTATTTCTTAGCAGTTTAACCAAAAAAATAACTCATAAATCAGTTAATTCTCTTGTCTTCAAAATTTTAATTAGACATAGATTTGAAAAACTCCATTCACATCCATCAGTGCTTTTAAGTGAATAACTTAAATAAATGGTGACTCAACTATTAAAAGTCTTACTAGGTTGGTGCTAGTAACATGTCCATATTATGAATTTGCAAGATAGGAACAACTACAGTGCAGGTAACTGCACATTAAATTCTTGCAATTACAATAAATACGTCAGAAAGAGCATCGAGAAAACATCTGAATCAGGATCTGACAGCAGGTCACATTGTGTAAATCTGCATGCCTTTATATCAGAAAGCTGTCACACAGAATCGCAGGTTGCTTCCAGCTATTTAGGACTACTTCCTTTATTTGTTTAATAACTGCAGCATCCGACTGTGGTAGGATCAACAAGCATCTTTATAGAGAGAGAGAGTTGTGTTTACTTGCTTACAGAGCAACAGCAGTAACTTCATTGATCAGCTACAATTATAAATGATCTATATATGGATCTCTATATGGAGACAGGATGGATCAGGATCTAACAGCAGGTCACATTGTGGACTTTCCTTCACCTCAGACAGCTGAGCTGTTACACAGAGTCACAGTTTAACAGCTGCAGTTTATCGTATCTACAGTTTATGCATTATACATCACTTGGTGTATTGCGTAGTCTCACATGAATGACAACTATCGTGTTACCTACATCTTAATGGCAGAATGCTGTCACTGTATCGGATTGATGAGGCCAGCAATGTTCCATATCCCATTTCTGAGGGGAGCTAGGTACATGTCTCAATTACTGTGACTCCCTTCTCTCTGGTATCAATCAAAAGTCACAGCCTTGCCGGCAACTAGTTCAGAAAGCAGCAGTTTGTCTTCTTACTGGTTTTAACAGACGACATCACATCACCTGGATCTTGGCTTCCCTTCACTGGCTCCCTGTTTGTTCTAGAATTGATTTTAGGATTGTACTGATCGTTTTTAAAGTTTGTCTGAGTTTAGCCCCAAGTTATTTAACAGAAATGCTGATCCCATATGAACCTATCCGCCTTAGATCCTCAAATGGGTCCTTCTCACTGTTCCAAATTTGAGAATGAAATCTAGGGTGACTGAGGTCTTCAGTCACCCCTCATCTTCAGGACCTCTTGGTTTTGGAACGACCTGCCTGAGGAGAAAATGCTGCAGAATCTTCTTTTAAATCACTTCTTAAAACCCATTTTTAAAGGCCTGCCTTTGTGTAATGTCTTTTTTTGAAAAATCCATCCATCCATTATCTATACACCGCTTAATTCTCACGAGGGTCACGGGGGGCTGGAGTCTATCCCAGCTGACTTAGGGCGAAGGCAGGGGACACCCTGGACAGGTAACCAGTCTATCACAGGGCTACACTAAGAGACAGACAACCAAGCACACTCACATTCACATCTACGGACAATTTAGAATCACCAGTTAACCTCAACATTTTTTTGGACTGTTTGGGAGGAAGCCGGAGAACCCGGAGAGAACCCACGCTGCACAGTGAGAACATAAACTCCATGCAGAAAGATCCCAGGCATCCTAACCGGGATGCGAACTGGCAGCCTTCTAGCTGCGAGGCAACGGTGCTAACCACCGAGCCACCTTGCAGCCTACTATTTTACTTTATGTGTTCATTTATGTATTTATGCTTGGCTATAATTTTCTTTCTAATCTCCTGAGACAACTCTCTCCTTGGCTTCCTCTGGTCCATGTTGAGTTGGTCCATGTGACTGACTGATTACAAGTTTGTAGACACCTGTGATGCTAATTAGAGGACGCACCTTGATTGAACATGTCCTTATGGTCACATTATTTTCAGTCTTTTCTAGGGGTACCATCATTTTGTCCAGGCCTGTTTCATGAGTTTATTTTTTAAATAATTCTGCTAAACCACAGTTCAAAAGCAACATCTGATTTCCATTGCTTAATTTTCATAGAATTTTTATTTATTATTACTTTTGTCAGATTCAAGTTATTTCTGTGACTGTTGTGGTTTTTTCTTTCATTAACCGAGGGGTACCAACTATTTTGTCCACGTGTGTGTGTTCAGTACCAATTGTCTGTCAGTAAGTAGTTGTTTGTCAGTAGGATTATGCAAAAACTACAAAGTTGAAATTCATGAAACTTGGAGATGAAGTGGAACGCGACCGACTGAATGACCAGATCTGTACTTCTTTCTTCAAAAATTTGAGATAGGGCAAGAAGATCAAGTCTGGTCTGTTACACCACAAGTTTGCAAAGGTGACTTTTCATTTGGGTGGATTTTGTGACAGCAGAGCTTTTGGCATTGCACTCAGCTCTCTAAAGCCAAAGTGTCTTCGAATGTAACACCAAGTGGGCAATGAATGATGAAACTGCAGATTTCTGTTCCAACAGGAGACAAACTTCTGAACAGGAACATTCAGACCTGAGTCCCACAGAAAATCACTGGAATGACTTCAGCGATCCACCCTGACCGAACCTCGGAAGAAAATCAACAAATTACATCGAGGGAAAATCCCAAAGCCCCCCTGAGCCGAGCCGAGCCGGGGCCGCTCGGAGATACGTGGGTGTATCGTTATGGAGGTCGAGGGGATTGAGATGAGGGTTTTTTTCGGGACCTGCTGGTCTTGGGCCTGTTTAAAGAAGCAGAGGACAGTGAGGGTTTTATTGAGTGTAAAATGAGTGGGCCGCCTGTATCAAGGAGCTCTTTGAGAAAGTCAGTGGGAGTGAAGTCGGAGGGGAAATGAGTCACGCTATCTGTTGGAGAGGGAGCAGAAACAAACTGCTGAGAGGAGAAACATGACAGAAAACACTGCTGGGGCTCAGCTATAAGAGAAAACTTTCCAGGTTCTTCAGAGAGGACAGGCAAATATTCTAATCACAAGTAGCATCTGTACTGACAGAAATGAACATGTGCATCTGAGAGGTTTAACGTGCCCCTTTTTCTATGTTATTGCAAATATACTGCACTACTCAGATATGCAGATGAGCCATTTTATGAACTTCATTGTTTGAAAAGTTGAAACTTTTTTGAAAATGCTGTGTTGAAATGTACAACAATCCCCCTAAAGCTATAAAAATGTCTGTTTGCTTAATATGATAAATGAATGGAAAATGCCAAATTCAACTGGAGCTACAGTCGTGTTAGAAAGTATAAACTTGAGGCAAAAATGTAAAAAGAAGCAAAACATTTGGGTTTGTGTTTAAATTTAATTACCAGTGGTCGCTTCTGCTCGGATAAACTTCATCTTAAACTTCAAAAGAAGGAGACCATTTCCTCTTTGTGATGTTTACAGAAATTAGTTTGAGGCTCCAAACAGTGACGCAACGGAATACAAATTCTGTAATCTGAGATCAACACTGCCGGGTGTTTGTAGATTTATAAATGTGAAATAAATCTTTGTAGAAAACAAACAGCCAAACGGAGAAAATCTGAGCGGATGTCGGACAAAGTGACCTGTACGAGTAAACACTTCAATAGGTTGCAGACCGTCTTAACAACCGTAACGAAGCACAGAAGGTCTGAATCAAGATTTGGATTTTCCCACATGGGGCTTTAGTAAAAGATGTTCTCTGCATTTAAACAGTTTGAATGTGGGTGTGTTTTTTTTTAGCAGTTCCAAAATCCAAGAAGAAGGAATGGAAGCTGCAAATGTTAGCATGTCTGGCTAACTAAGAGATCAACAGCAATGTGGCGATTAGAAACCATACATTGTCAATGAAACTTGATGGCATGTAGTGAAAACAATGTCCACAGCTTTGGTTCCTGCGACTTTAATCACATCAAAATGGAAGATTTGTGATGGAAGATTCCTGCTAAATAAACCACACGTATAATTCCTGCATTAGCACCAAAGATGTCCCAAACAGATCAAAGCATTTTTTAACTGATCAGTATCAGCCTAAAATTAAGCCTGATCCACTGTCACACAGGTGTAGCAAATGGAAAGCACCTGCTGAGTTAACACTGAACATACACTGTTCTAGTTATGAACAGAGGTAGTAAAGATACTCTTTTGTTTTATTTTTGACTTTTTTTGTCTTTGCCTTGACAACTATCACAAAGCAAATACACTACACAGGGAAAACAGCTATTTGTACAAAGCAGTCATCATGTTTTTGACAAATAAAACTTCCTATCGTTTCGTCTGAAGCCTAAAGCAGTCCTGTAGGCAACCTTCCAACCATTAGCTGCACTGGAACACACAGTATGATGATAATAATATAAGATGACAACTATACCTGGTCCCTCCGCCTTGACGATGGCCTCCGGTGAGATGCAGACGCCGCGGTCATACAGCGGCAGCTCGCTGCAGGCCAGGCTGTCTGGCCAGCTGTGGTTGTAGCGTTTCATCACTGGCTCGCAGCCGTACTTGGCCCGCTCGCACACCGCCTTACAGGGTTTGATGGGTTCATGCTGGAAGTCAATGGTGCAGATGGGAGCGTACATGGCACACAGGAAAAAGAGCAAATCTGGACTGCAGCCAGTACCTGAGCAAGCAGAAAAACAAAGACTGGTGTGTTACCACAAGCATTTTTCTGATCAGCAACTGATGATATCTTTGATTATATGCACTATAATGACATCTGAGAAACAGAAATCTTTATATTTTTTCTTTTAAGCCTGTTTTTGGATGTATTTTGAGAAAATTAGGTGACCTGATGCTGGTAGGAAACATGGCCTGCCAAGTAATGATCATTTTCATTGTCGATTACTATCTGGATTACTTCTTGATTAACAGATTAGTTGATCGGTCTATAAATGTCAGAAAATGATGAAAAATGTCCACCAAATGTCATGTTTTTGTCCACAACCCAAAGATATTAATTTTATTGTCACATAGGAGCAAAGGAACTGTAAAATATAACCTTTTAAGAATTTGAAATCAGAGAATTTACACTTTTTTTTTCTTACACAAATCACTTCAATAAAATGTATAATTTACCAAAATATTCGGCAATTAATTTGACAGTTGATAACTAATCGATTAATCAGTTAATCATTGCAGCTCAACTAGTATGATGAGCCACCGCTGACTTCAAAGGATGGTTATTCAGTCTCAGTTTAGGTGTTCCTTTTCCACCAGCAGGACTCCCTGTTCTTACATCAGTGAAGGCGTGATGCGTTCAGGGACCTCCGGCTGACCACACACTGGACTTATAATGACCACCATCCTGCTGCAAGTTTCACACAGACCAGAGAGAGTTCAGCGCTGGGCAGAGGACGGATCAGAGTTTTTATTGCCGAGGGCCTGAGGTTTGGCTGCACAGCTTCACAATGAAGTCACAGAAATATTTTGAACTTGTGACCTGAAACTGCTTCCTGGTTTCTGGCTTGCTGGTCTTTCATTAGGACATTTTTCTGGTTGAAGCTTAGAGCCTTTCCACTTTCTCTTTCCACTCATCCAGCCTCAGCTGAGCTCTGAGTTCAGTCTGTCCCTGAGTGTATTTCTAAGACTGAAACAACAGGGCACTTAATACAGACTGTAAACGTTGCTTTAAATTTACATTTAAGGGTATTTAAAAATAAGACATTACTGCAAATCTCAATACTGATGACTGTGAGACAATTATCTAAAGAAGGAACTTAACTGCTGATTTAAATACTGTAAAAAATAGTGTGAATTTACAGTCAAATGCTATGAAGGAACAAATTACCATTTGTGAAAATACACATTTTTGATGACAGTATTCACGGTTTTGTTTTTGTTTTTCTGTTTTTTTTTACATAGAAATTCTTTTTGTTGTTGTTTTTGTATTAGCCTAAAATTTAACAAAACAGAAAAAAATCTGTAAAATAATAAATTGTTCATACTAATTCCACTTTAACAGAGCACTGTCTTGCTGCAGCTCTCTTTGTACATGCACTCTCAATATTTATATTTTAAAGACCCATTATTAAGGTTTGCATTTCTCTGTAACGCAGCCAAAAATATATATTTACATAATTAAATTAATGCAATAAATGTGCCTCGCAGGTATCATAGCAGGTGTCTTACCATTTACAAAGCTTATCGGTTAGCTCCTTATACAGAGTGCAGATGCTGTCTGATGGGAATAATATTAGTTCTGTAGGCATTTCATTATAAAACTATTGGACCAACTTAATTTGATGATGATAAAATGTGCAGGAACCACAAAAAGAAATGAAATGAAGAAGAATGACATTTTACAGAAATTCCTTCAATAGCTGTTGAGATATTTCCTACAAATGTCATAATGGGGCGACACACAAAGTCAGTGCATCACTGAAGCCAGTTGGACTCACCCTCTGGGGAACATGATTGTACTGAATTTTATGACAATTTATCCAGTAGTTGTAAACAGTGGTGAACCAACTGCCTGACATTAACCTCCCCACTACTACTGCAGCCAAAAACAAGCACAAAGTCATCCAAGAAGCACCAAAAATCTCCCAAACCAAATCCAAAACATATGACTACTTTATTCCATATGTCTTCTAACCAGATCTGAAGTACTTCTACCTGCTCTAACAATCCACATCGAAAGACTCCTCCTGCCTAAATCGGATCACAATTCTATTTACGTCAAAGTCTGAGCAAAGCAAGTGTGCAATATTTACCTTTTTCTGGGAGAAATGTTGAGATAAAGAAAGTGAAAATGGAGACATATTGTACACTTAGACAAATATATTCAGTTTACTGAGCCAGAAGGTGTGTTTACAGAACGTGCAGATCTGCAGAGCAACGATTTTACCTCAAATAATACAGAGATTGTGATATGTGGTATCAGCAGGTGTGTTGAGAGACAACACGAGACCAGAATGTTCTATTCCCCTGTCAGAAGGAGAACACGGGGAACAGCTCCAGTTTGTCAAATGTAGACAAAGTTTATGTAATGTAACATGACTTGATCTTTATCCTATATCCTTTGCATGCAAAGAACAAAATGCACCATTACGGGCTGTTTTAGAGAAAAGTTTTGGCGAAAAATAGCAGCAACAGTTTAAAAGTTACACAATCCTCGCAGCACATGAACAGTTTTTCAGTTTCTTGCTGATTTCTGCTAATTCACAAGCAAACAAACTGTGAGAGCTCAGCCATACCTGACTGCTCCTTTCAATTACAAAACCAAACAAAATGCCAAAAACATTTAGCTATTGGACTGTAGTCATAAGCATTTGGTTGGATCAGTTACAAACCGTTGGATACCTTTGCTTGTCCTATTAGTGTCCCTTTTCTTTCTTTTTCCCCCTCTTCTGCATCAAATTTGACTAATTTGACCAACTTTTCAGCCAGTTAAACCAAAAGGTCACCACAGTGGCAACATGGTGTGATGTTAACTTTGTGTTCTCTTTAAGTGTGGCCCCACAGAGCAGCGAGCGTGGCTGTGAACTCTACAGTACCCATATATACTGTATAGTGTGTTAGTCGCAATCCTTTGTGCAGTGAACAATATGTGACTTTTGGAGTCTCATGCAAGTATAAAAAACATCTCATTTCACACAACAGACTGCAACACATATACTGCATGCAACAGTATGTAATTTGTAAAGGCAGCTGCAGTATGTACTGAAAAGAAAAAGCGTGCAATGTGTTTTTTAACCTCACAAAATCCCAAAAAGTGTTCCCAGTTCAAAGTTCTGTTCCCGATTTAAAGCTAAACAAACCAAACTGAGGGAAAAAATACGACCTCCATCTCATTTTTGTGAGTTTTTCATAATTTCTATCAGTTCCAAAAACTCACAAGAAAATCTGCTGTTTCAGGTCTGACGGGAGCCTTGATATCTTCACCTTAGAAGATAAAACTCAGCTGTATGCAGACTCTACTTTGTTAAACAGTGCATGCAAAAGAAAAAAAAAACAAAAAAAAAACAGTGCATGCAAGACTATTGTAAGTACAGCAGGGCTTAAGCAAAGCACACCTGACGTATTTGGGGGTATCTGTCCAGATACATAACCTCAGTTTTAACTGAGGTAAGTTGGACATTTGAACACCTTAATTTCCGCTTTTCAAACAAATTTTTGGACTGAGCTGCTGTGCTGCAGTAACTACAGCCTTTTCTGTGCACAGACACCTAAAAGCATCGACCGTTGTGACACGTGACACTCTTGCCCTTTAAACTACATGAGTTTCTGTTTCTACATGAGCCTGTGGAAAACACTAACATATGATAAATGCCTAACAATAAACATCCCATTTATTGCAAAGAGTGAATTCCAAGTATGGCTGGGAACAGAGCTTCTGCTGCCAAAGCATCGACTTTCTGAATTAAAATGTAAAAAACAAAATCATAATATCTCCAAGAAACGTTCCTTTTTCAGCGCCAGACAGCAGCGAAGAATCAAAAAATGACAATAAAACTTAACATTGCTTGGAATATACCAAAGAAGAGCTTCCTTTTTCAACTGGCTGAATATAGAAACATGTATCTGCACCTCTTGTTTAAAATCATTTACCCAATATGTAAAGAAGACACTGACAGAAAGTGCAATGCTTGTAGAAATCTATTGTTTGCCTCAAAAAGGCAAAAAGTCTTTGGAAACATTCAGTAGTATCTGTTAAGATACTCTGTCATTTCTTGTGTTTTGTGGACACCATCCATCGCTCAAAGACAGATTCAACCAGAAGTTTATGTTCTCCACAGTCTTCCTGTAACTAACTCTGTGAGTGACTGGAATATTCGTGTTCCTGCAGCAGCCACCCAGAACTGTGATGCGTGGAATGACAATCTTGGATCAGGGCTTCAGTCAAACCAGAAACCAACACTGGGCTGGAACTCTGACCAACTCCTCAAAATATGGCTCCTCCATCACCAAGTGCTGTTACATGAGCCAGTTTCCCCCTTTTTTTCAAAAAAGAAAAAAAAAAGCTTAATCAGAATGACGGTTTCCACAAAAATGTTTCCATAATCTCTGAGTGAAACGATGGTTTAAGGGCTCGGATCACATCCAGCTCTGCTCCAGCAGCAAACTCTTTCACTGTTTAATTCCTCCTGATCATTCAACAGGAGACAAAAGAATCACAGCAGCTGATGTGATCTAGAATTTATTGGAAAAATGCAAAAGTCAAGGGTCAGTTCACCTAATTTACTAAAAAAATAAAGAAATTACAGCCTTTATTTGTACTGATTATGACACTTCTTTCTCCGTACAAACTGTGACCATTTCATCAGTAGGCGTGCTTTGTTTAAAACTGGGAAAAGTTCAGAAAAGCAAATTAAAAAACACTTTGCATGGTAAATCATTTAGGAAAACCTTATTTTAAATTTTTTTCCTTTGGGTAAATTAAAGATAATGTCATAATAACAGACAATATTTAGCAAAATCACAGAAAAAGTTTTAGTTTACACATTGTAAAAACCAATCTTTAAATTTAAATTGAAATGAATTAAAAAATAAACAGGCCAAACTGTTAATGGCACCCACATCAAAAATCTGTATGTTTATAACACGACCATAAAATTACAGCTTTACTGTTTACTGTTTGCTATTGCAAATATTTTTGTCCACTATCAACCCAACATCATGGTCAACTTGGGCAGAGCAAAGGATGCAGCTTCGATGTTCCCTCAAAATATACAAAATTAGCAGCAGCTACTGGAAATAGAAGTGTATTGTTGAGTCGGCAACTGGACAGATACATCGACTATCTGCGATTTGTTGAGGACATTGCCGGTTGGGATTCTTGCCATTTCATTTTGCTAATTTAATGGTCCGGTTCCCTGACAATTCAACTCACTAAATCATTAACCTGCAAAAGCACAATTCAAAGTGTGAGCTCGTAGAAACTGGCAACTGGAGCTGTGTTTGTGAGAAGTACAGTAAATCAGCAGCACATAGCTCATGCTGTCTCGATAGTTATATAACAGTTACGCAAATGTTGTGTAGCACGTTTGCAGGCCCAGTGGTCCAGTTCATGCCACATAAGATCTGTGCACTCTCCTTCTCCTGATTACTGCAGAATTGGTCCAGACGGTAAAGGCTAGTTAGCATCTATTAGGATAAAGTAAAGACACTTAACCTAAAACCAGACATCTGCCTACAACAGTTAAGGGCTGCGGACCCAGAAAAGTAACACGACTCTTTGCATGCTTACATTCACTGAGGAGACAGTGTTGTGTTAAGAATATACTCATTTGTCCAATTTGGATACATCACTTTTGAATACATTTCTGCAGACGAATTCATCCAAAACTGGACGCAAACTATTTGTGAACTCCAGATTGATTCTATGCTCTAAATGTGCACAGAAAGGAGGGTTGCTGGTTTTTGAAACAGAGAAATTAGGGTGCAGGTCTATAAAGACATATGATTTTAATAAATCCCTGCATATGAAACACTGTTCTAACGTCAATGAACAATTTTTAAAGTAGCATCAGACGCCTTCAAGAAGATACTGGCAATGCCTGGTTGTTGAATTGACGGTGGCCAGTTGGAAAATACCAACAAATGGCCCAACTCTGGTGCATTGCTGTTTGTTTGCACATTTCTGCTGCTAACCGCTAAACAGCAGAGCAGCGTTAAACTGTGACGAGACGCACAAATGTTCATCACAACACAAACAAATCTCACATAAAATCCACAGTATGGTCTGCTGCTCCTGAAAACTGCTGAAGTCACAGTTCATGTGCTGCTGATGGATAAATACAAGGACCATCACTAAAAGAAGCTGTTTCACCTGCACAACTGTGTCAACAGAAAAATCCATCAGTCCAGCAGGTTTTCAGTGTAAGCGGGTGACAGACAGAGCAAATATTTGAGGAGGTCGGTGCAGCAATATTTTTCCGTCAAACGAGTGGATTCACTGTTTGAGAATGTACATCGATGTTGATGATCATCAATAAGCATTATGTCCACAATCCACAAGGACACACTGTGAGATGTTTTAATAGGACCCATCTGTTTGAAAGAAAGTTCTCTGAATGGAAACTGATGATTATTGATTACAAAAAGTAAATTGAACAGGCATGTTTCTGTTGGATGTTTTACACCATAAACCAAAATCTATTCACTTCCTGAAAACTCAGAGACACCATTATTTGTTTCTTTTCTTTTCTCTTTGTGTCTTCTATAAGAAATTCTCTTTTACCTTGTCTTTTTTACTTATTCGATTCTATTTGTTTTAGTATAAAATTTATATTTAAAGCTACAGCGCTGAAAATAATTATAATTATCACTATGGATTCATTTGCTGGTTATTTTTTTAAATTATTTTGATTGCTTTGTAAAATAGTAAAAAAAAAAAAAAAAAAAAGGCAAAAAAAAAAAAACCATTATAAAATTGCAGGAGGAGATGAATGATGTTTATGGACAATCCAGGAGTCAGAACTTTTTAATTAGTTCAATAAGTTATCAGATTTTCACACTGGAGTCGTGGAACTTTAATTTCATCATATTTCTAAATTATGTTTTAAATAAGAAGAAATCACTGCTGAGGTAAGTTAATTAGAAAATTACTTTTATTCATGAAGAGTGATTTTTCATGTTAATCAGTCTGTGGTGGACATTTGACAGTGATGGAAAGTAATTAAGTACATTTACTTAGTTATTGTACTTAAGTACAGTTTTGAGGCCCTTGTACGTGACTATAGTATTTTTCCATTTTATATTACTTTCCATTACATTTCTGAGGGAAATATTGTACATTCAGATGAAGATTTGATGCAATGGATAATATAGCAAGCTTTTAAAATCCAGCATAGGGTTTCAGATAAAATCAGTGGTTTACTTTTTGAAAATGATTTACAGTTTTTTTTTTTTGTTCTTGTTGTTTTTAATATATTCACTATATCATTAAAACATGGTTGACAATAAAAGATCAAAATCAAAATCTTGACAACCAAAGAAAAAAACCTAAAGAAATGTGCATTAAACCCTACAAATGGCAAAATATAAATAAAATAAATAAATAAAATTATGCAAATGGGGAAAATTAAAACAAAGACGAGGGAAAAAATATGATTCTATGAAGAAAGTATGACAAATATGAAAAAGTCAAAATTTATATCACTAAATATGTACAAATCTGATATATGTATAAAAATATAAATTGTAAAGTTCAGCAAACTGCAAAATTAACTTCTAACTCAAGGTTTATGTTTGGCTCAGTATGACAGCAGTTGCTGCATTCATTTTGGAGCCCTTCATCAAACCAATATGTATACTGTTTAAAAACATTTTCTAAAGGCATTTTTTAAACATATTCAGTATATCATTAAAATATGGTTTGCAATTTTTAAAGAACTAAAGAAAAACTTTAAGAACTGTGCATTAAGCCCTGAAAATGGTCAAAAATAAAATAATAATAATAATAAAAAAAACTTCAATAGCAAAAAAAAACCCCTTCAGAATAAAAAATAAAATTCTATGAAAAGTTCACATTTATAAAATTAAATATGTAAAAATTTAAATATATAGAAGTTGTATGATTGGCTCAGTGTGAGAGCAGTTAGTGGAATAATTTTGAAACCCTTTGTCAAACCAATACTTTTAAAAAAAACTAAAGTTTTTCAAAGAAAATATTATTAAGAAATTTTTATATGAATTCCATTTTTATTATTGTCATCCAAAGAAAAAAACTTAAAAACGGTGCATTAAACCCTAAAAACATTAAGAAATAAAATAGATAAACAAAATTGTGCAAATGGGGGAAAATACTAGGACACTAAAAATAAAATAATAAAAAAAATTTGCGGGACGAGAAAAAAAAATGGGAAAAATATGAAATGCTCCAAATTTATGCAAGTAAATGTTTTGTTTGTTTTTGTTGTTTTAAAGAAGAAGAAAAAAAGACTTGTAGCTTCAAAAGCAGACTGTAAAATGTAGGTTTGACTCGGGTTTGTCTCAGTGTGAGAGCAGTTTGTCAGTTAATGACGCCCATTAAAGAATTAATGAAGAAGTTCATGAACTCACCCAGCAGCCCCTCGAACTGCTCGATGGCCAGCACCGCGTTGTCCTGCGTGCTGTGGTGGAGGTGGTTCGGCATCTTGGTCATGTTCCACGGCATGGACCGGCACAGCGGGATCCGCACCGGTTCACAGGACGCCGCCCGGACCGCAGCCGGCCACAGCGCGCAGGAGACGGCCAGCAGAGACACGGAGAGTCCCGGAGAGAGCATGTCGGTCGTTAGGTGGGTTTAGGACGCACACTGGATTGACGGCGGAGCGCTCGGTGCTCCGGTACAGCTTCGGCCACTGAGTTAAATCCGGACCAGGACGCGCTTTTCCTGCTGATCTGTGGCTCCGCAAGCAGCTGGAGGGAGGAGCCGCCTTCTGATCTACCTCCTCTTCCTCCTCCTCTGCTTTATCCTCCATACTAAAAGATAGATTCCTTTTAGATGAAAAGTCAACACAGGAAAAGCTGCTGGAAGCTCATGGATGTGTGGTTAGTATACAAGTACACAACACGTGTAAAAATACTGCACTGCACGTAAAGTCCATGCATTCACAGCAGAAGTACAGGAAGACTGAAGAAATGCTCATCAAGAACTTGTTGTGCAGACAGTGGTTACCAAACTGGGGCTGACACTCTTCCAAAGGGTCTCCAGATACAGCTGAAAGAGGCTGACATGATTGTGATTACTGTTATACACAAATGTGTTTTCAGTTTTTTGGACACTTTAACAGTATTTGCTTTTATAGTGGAATACATGAAGCTATTTAAAGGAAACCAGGAACTGCAAGCCACTCATACGGCCCCTTCTGGACTCCTTTCTGTAAATTCAAAGGCCTTTGAACATGTGGGATTTATGTTTTATATGAACATTTTGCTCACACCTACAGGAATCATACTGGGTCAAACCAATGAACATTTTCAGAGTACAAAAAGGGGAGCTGGAGCACACTGTTCATTCACAGCCTTTTATTGGGCAAACAGACGAACATTTCAACTCCACTGTGTCTTCATCAGAGTCAAAATGGATGCAAGGCAAATTAATATATTCAGTCTAAACCTGGTGTACACTTGTCATTGGATAAATGGTGGAACAGGGATTTTAAATCAACTGGACGACAAATTCAAAGGTGGGTGTAATATAAGTGCCACACCCCCAACACCATGTCAGAAACTCAGGAAAACAGACTTCTCTTATAATAACAAAGATACTTGTACAAAAAAGTAACAATAAAAGATGAAAAAACAGACATTTTTACTTCCAACGTGGCGCAAATCTAAACTGCATGCCCTCATATTACCAGATAGATATGCACATAGGATGAGGTCAGAGTTGTGTGAAGAGATTTTCAAATATTTTTTCACATTCCAGCACCAATTTCAAACCAAAAGATCCATGAAACACCTTTTCATTGACTTTGTGCTCTATTATAAACTGAAATGCCATAAAGACAGAGTCCGTAACGAGTCAGCTTAATGACATTCATAGATTATAAATTACTCCTGTGAACAGCAGGTTTAGACTAACAGGAGCTGGAGTTTAGTTTATTACTTCTAGCTGTTTAGGAGTCTTTCCTCTGAGTTTATTAAATATCTGCAGCATCAGAAAGCAGCGAGATCCACATGAGCGTTTTCAGGGAGAGAGAGACACAGCAGTAGCTTTAATAAATGCTTGTAATTTCAAATTATCCCCGACACAGGGACAGGATGGATCAGGATCTAACACGCTGTGGATTTTTCTTCACCTCAGACAGGTGAGCTGTCACAGAATCCCAGTTTATCAGCTGCAGGTAAATCATTTGTTGAATAGCACAGTTAAATCCAGTCTTTTTTTTTTTTTTTTTGCTTTAAGGGCTTTAGACACTCAAAAAAGGCTAAAAACTAATTTAATTCTTAATGTTATATTTCTAACATGGGATGTCTTACTGCAGCTGCCCTGTAACGTAACATAAAATGGACATAAAGTACTCTCAGAAATGTATTTAAGTTTGGTTACTCAAGTGATTTTAGTAGCTTCTCTGTAAGGCTATATGAAATAAGCAGTACTAGCATCATCTGTCTCACTTGTTGAGGAGGCCTTAAACCTATTACTATTAGATGCAACACACATCAACTGTGTAACACTGAAAACTGTCATTTGCGTTCAAACGAAAAAGTCTGAAGTCAAGTCTGTTTCCAAAAAAAAAAATAAAAAAATCTCTCGCAGACTTCCAGGCTAAAATGTTACACTCTTAGATCGTGTAATTGCTTTACCATCAGTTGTGAGCTTATTAATGATGAAGTTTAGACTGAGAAAGACTCGTATGAAACATATTATTTAGTGCAGAACATTTAGTGAAGAACTTGGATGATGAAGAACATGCCGGAAACACACTCTGAATGAAAGACATTTCCTTTCTAGACAACAGATATGCCGTGTTGAATCTGGCATGCAGCTGCTCTCTTGATGTGGAAAGATTTTTGAGGTTGTCATAAACTTTGTGTTGCACCTCGTTTTTCACTTTGTGCCAAAGCAGGCTTCGCTATAGATTACATTTTCTGTCTCGCCTGTTTCTCCCATTGTTTTGTTGCTTAGTTGCAGCACTTTAAACTGTTTTCCACTGTATCTTTTACATGCTGTCACATTTCTTAAGTAACATGTGGTTTCTAAACACGTTTATTTTGCAGTCACACCAGTGTGACCTTACTGGGGCCTAGAGTCCCAACAAAATTAAACTTTCCAAGTTCTAATCTTGTGTCCCTGTGCTGGTTGTTTATGGACCTCTTGTTGTATGCACAATATTTGTAAAAATAAATATTTTTTAAGTACTTTTATGTCAAAATACCTCTTTTTCCTCTTCCTGGAAAACAAAAAATATCTTTATTGGCTGCACTTGGTGGTGGTTACATATATTGGATCCAGTCAAATGTGATCTAATGAACATTTTCCATTCATACTACAATAGGCACTTGTTGCTCTGCCACACTGCTTATGTAGACAGTTGCATTGCCACTTTGAAGACATAGGGCTCCCATGGATGTTTCAGAAACACAGAGACTTTGAACTTTTTACAGGATGCAGCACAGACTGTGTATGCTATCTATCTAACAAGTGGCTGTACTTGTTCAACCTCTGACCCCTTCAGGCTTGTTACATTAACAGCTCTGTTATTGGTCCATTAAAGACAACAGAAGTTGCAGCAAGTTAATTCCTTTTTTTATTTTTGTTGGCATAAAAGTTGGTTAAATCAGTCAAATCTGACCAAGAAGGGGGGAAAAAAAAGAATAAGGCGGTACTAGAAAAAACAGTATTGCTGGTATCGCTGGTAGATTTGCTACCATTTTATCGCCCAGGTCCAGTTGCACGTCCTTTAACTATGGCTCCTGAGTTGTTGCTAGATGTTGCCCTGATAATATGGGTTACCTACTGTTGCATCGACAGCTCTGTTCTTGGTCCATTAAAGCTGAACATGACACAGCTATTACTGTTTTTTGTTTTTGTTTTTGTTTGGCCTAAAAGTTGGTTAAATCAGTCAGAACTAATGAAAAGGTTCTAAGTAAGTTCTGGACTTGAAGCTGTTTCAGAGGTTCACTGGCTGAACTTGTTCAACCTCTGACCCCTGCAGGCTTGTTGCAAGAACAGCTCTGTTATTGGTCCATTAATCAGAATCAGAATCAGAAATACTTTATTGATTCCCGAGAGGAAATTACTTGTGTTACAGTCGCTCCCATTCAAAGTCAGTATATACATAAACATAAGTACAAAATATGAACTAAAAATATGAACATAAGTAGAAAAATATGACCAAAAATATAAACATGAGAAGAAAAATATGTCATGAAAATATAAACATAAGTAGAAACAGTATTAGCATGGATGTAAAATGTGCTTTTCCTAAGAAAACAAAATGTTACATCCAGTGCAATAAGTGGTCTGTTATTACACAGAGGTAATAAATAGTTTGTTATTGTACATAAATACGTAGTTATTGCTGATTATTGATTGTTAACACAAAAGTGCACTGAAACATAATGAGTCCAGTCTATTGACTCAGAGTTTGACCCTCTAAGTGAGAAGTTTTATAGTTTCAAGTTGAATATGACGTAGCAAACGTACTTTTTTGTTTTTGCCAGATATCAAAGTTGGTTAAATAAATCAGATCTGATACAAAAAAGTCCTAAGTAAGTCCTGGACTTGAAGCTGATTCAGAGGTTCACTGGCTGTACTTGTTCAACCTCTGACCCCTTCAGGCTTGTTGCATTAACAGCTCTGTTATTGGTCCATTAAAGCTGAATATGACGCAGCAAACTGCAGCAGTGTGTGTCTGTGTGTGTGTTGATAGCAGTAATGGTTGTCAGATGTTGGAGGAGCTTCCCATGTTAAGGTTGACTTACAGCCAACACACACACACACACACACGTCTCTCTGGGTTTTCTGACTCATGGATCAACATGCAGAGAACTGAGTCAGCACTTTCCCTTCCATCCTTCCTTCCCTCCTTCTTTCCTCCCTCTTTCTTTCTTTTTTTTTTTTTCTCAGCTCTCATGATTTCATCTCTGAGTGTGTTTTTTCTCACGTAAAAGTTTCTCGTATTTGGCAGGAAAATCTTATTGGAGGACCAAACACACAGTAAACACACATTCCAATGCAACTGAAAACCTTTTACTTTCCTTGTTTCCTCTTTTTTTCTCTCCTCACCTTGTTTTCTTTACTTTCCTACCTTTTTACCTACTTTTCTCTACTTCTTTACTTGTCCTCTTCTTTCTGCTGCTCCTCTTGTTTTCCAGCTTTTGTTTTCTTCCTTGTTTTTTTTCTCTGTTTTTCTTCCTCTCCTCTTTTTCTCATCTGTCCTCTCCTTGTTTCTCTTCCTTATCAGTAATCTTTTGTCCTTGTCTCCTGTCCTCTCATCTCCTTGTTTCCCATCCTGCCCTTTCCTGTCTTTGTTTCTTCTTCTCTTTTTCTTATCTCCTTGTTTCCTTTCCTCCCTACTAATCTCCGTTTCCTCTCCTCTCTTCTTCTTGTTTCCTTTCCTCTTCTCTTTTCCTCACTTTGTTTCCTTTCCTTTTCACTTCTCTTTTCATCTCCTTTCCTCATTTCCCCTCCTGCCTTGACTTTGTTTCCTTTCCTTTTTACCCCTCTTTAGTCCATGTCTCCTTTCTTCACCTCTCATCTCCTCTCTTTCTCTCCATGTTTCCTTTCCTCGCCTCTTTTTGTCCTTTTCTCCTCTCCTCATTTCCTCTCTTGCCTTCTCCTTTCCTTTCATCTTTTCTTGTCTTTGTCACCTCTTGTCTCCTCTAGTCTCCTCATTTTCTCTTGCTTCCTCTCCTGTTTTTCTCACCTGTCCTCTCCTTGTATCCTTTC